GTACACAATATTTGCAGCAGATAAACGCGAGATTAGGGCATAACTTAGTCGCAACGAAGGCTTAGTCTGAATAACAAAAATTTTATTCGATGCTTTTTTTTATCTAAATTCTCCTCTTTATCGGAACGATATTTGTGTTTACATAAAGGAAGAAGATAACAGTACGTTAAAAACAGAAAACGTACAAAACAATGTCTGCGGTGTACTAATTTTTTCCAAAGTTTCCGAACGCTTACGTAAAGGCAATATATTATCAATAAGTTGGAGATAACCATAGAAGAAAACATTGTATCCCTGCGATACACAGTCAACGTGAATTCTATTCTCTTTCTTTAATTTTCTTTTTTTTTTTTATTTGTTCCTCTTTTTCGAACGAACGACCGTCTACGAACATTCGCGGACAAAGATTAAAAAGGACCGTCTGCGATCCCATGATTGCCTTAATACAACGGTTTGACTCATAAACTTGTTAGTCAAATGAGGTCATCCGTTGATCAGTGGACGGAAAGTGATTCACTGACACTTAACGTCGTGTATGATGTAACTCAAGATAGCCGGAGACGATGATACAAAGTAGCTCCGAAATCATCCGTAAACTACCGCTAAATGGCGATCTACGGTCTACAGAAACACTGGAACAAAAAATCAGACATTTAAGGCAAGATAATCTTATTTCTCCTTCTTTCTTTTGTCTTTTATCTGATCTCAATCTGCTACCACTGAAATATCATGGATCTTTTACATATGTTCACGCATATGCTGTATTACGTAAGAGCATATCTAATCAGTCATTCCCCAATTAACATTCATCGGGAACGACGATACATCTTTCCGAAAGAAAAGATCCGTCACGAGTATAATTAGTCGCCGCTGATAATCATTGCGATTCTGAACGCATTCAACTGTATTTCCCTTTTACGATCGTGTAATACGCAATCGAAAGCGACACATGTCACGCGAGTTCTCGCGGATTGCTCTTATCTCGAACGATTATCTTCAGTTTCGTAAGTCAGAACTGCAGCCCGATGTTCGAAATAGAGAAAGTTTGCAAAATTTGCAACACGCGTGATTCGTGTAGTTTATGAGACATCGTAGTTGGTTTAAAATATGTATTACTTGGTGCTGAATCTTAGAATTTGCTTAAAAATTGTGTAAATTAGGCAGCGGTTATTGATTAGTAATTTCGTATGGTAATTTCGTATGGTAAATAGCGTTTCTATGCAGACGTAGAAAAATTTCTAGCATTCCCAGTTTTATTATTTTCGATAACTTGTCTGCTTGCTCGTGAAACTTCACGTTACAACCCCTACGAGATAACTAGCATTAGCGGTCGTAGACATAACGTTATGTCGAAGTGGTCACCACTTCTAAGAAAACTCTACATCTGGTCTTTTTAGTTTTCTCAAGCACCGAAGCCATTGCGTATAGACAAAAGACTGCGACGAAGACAGACCATAAACGGTAGACAGGCGACGTTGGCTTCGGGGTTCTCAGTTATTGGGTAACACAGCTAGCGTGCGGATCTGGACCAGCTGAAATTGTATTTTTACTTATAATTACGCTTCTTTATTAAAATATATTTGCTACCTTACAATTTATCCACGAGTTTCTCTGTTTATACATCAAACAATACGTTACGTCAAAGATTCCCCCGTTTAACAGCATTCGTAGAATCTAGATAATTTTATCATGTCACGCGATGATCCTTGATTTTCTTTATCAAAATACACATAGATATAGCTTAAATTGCATAGAATCGTATATTTTTCTTTCAATAGCGCATTTATCGTACAAGTTTATAATTAAATTTCGAAGATCTTTTAAAATCAAAGTAAGAAGAAGAATAAGTAGGAAAAGTAAATTAATTTTCGAAAACTCCTCTAAAAAGTATCACACAATAAATTTACAAATAATACGGATATCCTCTGGTATCGCAAATTCTTGTTTCGCGGATAAAACTTTTATCTTCGCTGGAAATAACTTTCATCTAATTATCTGAATTAGCGGTAATCATTTTCGTTAATATACCAAATCGCATCGATCAAGTAGAACAAAGATCAAGTAGTTAGAACAGTAATCTTCGATAATAGCCTTGCCGAGCTCGATCGCGTACTCCGAAATCCATTCTCGTACCTTTTCATCTCTCGCAGATTACAAAGTAACCAAACGTTTCGACACATTGCCTTCTCCCGGTTCGTCCTCTCGCGTGCTCCGACGTCGTGGATCGCCCACGGCTCCTTCAAATCATGGTATTTTTGAGCGAATCGACTAACTCCGATCGCGATCATGTCGCTGGCATTGCGAAATCCTCTTCTCGTAGTACCTAGGTACTCGCAGCGACGAAATAGGGAGCACGCCGACTCTCACGGGAGCGCGTATCCTGGTACATTTCGTAATGGCAATCGCGAGGTTCGTCTATGAGGTCGGCTCGGTTCGCGGCACCTACTCGC